ACCATTATTAGTTCACTGGTAACTGGACTTACTCTTACTCCTTACTCTTTTCTCACTCTGGAAGGTCAGTCAATGCTTTGCCCTCCCACTTCAATAACCTATATCCAGTAAAACTGACTGGTCGTGTTTAAGTGAAGGTGTCAGTGATAATGCAAGTTGACATGGAAATTCATCTTGGTGACTTCACATCTCTTTTTAGATACCAATAGATATGGTACCAGTTTCACACAGTTGTCAGTGGATATAGCTCTAATTTTACACAGACGTCTGTGGATATAGCTCTAATTTTACACAGATGTCTGTGGATATAGCTCTAATTTTACACAGATGTCTGTGGATATAGCTCTAATTTTACACAGATGTCTGTGGATATCGTGTATGTTGTACACATAAGGTAGGGGATACATCAGGGGATACAACTAACGTTACAGAAGTTAAAGCAACAATGTTCACCATCCCTACCTTTCCCATCCTCCTGCTGATTGGTCTGTCTCAGGGGATTGTCGCATACGGGTACTATTACCATATGACCCGCTGAAGTCAAAGCAAATCAACTCTCTCAGTAGTCAGTCAGTCTACATTTTTGAGGGAACAATTCATTACTTGATGGAATAAATTATAATCAGTATTTTCTTTGACTCTGATAATAAATATATATGTAAATTACTCGATTTCCTATGCTTCCTTTTTTCACCTTGGGCCTGTTCTACAATATACCCGGAATGTCAGGATTTTTCCTAGCAGCCCTTTCCAGTGCTTCACTCAGGTAAACACATCAGTTTTACATATGTTTCTATTGCAGTAGTATACATCTCACATTCACTCAAATTGTATAATGAGCTTGCTACTGGCCAATGCGATATCGTCTCTTGTTGGTTACCCAGCCACGTTGGCATTTCTGGGAATACAATGGCTGATCTTGCCGCTAAGGCAGCACTCAACAAATCTGTGACACCACTTCTTATCCCATACTCTGATTACAAAGCTAGCATTAGAACTTACATCCGTGATCTGATGCAGAAGAAGTGGGACACCCAAGTCAATTTGAACTTACCAGGATTTTTAAACGTAGTATTCTTGTTATTTTAATTTTGACTAACAATCTTACAATCGCCAGCAGCTAAAGGGATGGTGTAAATCCAACTAGGGTCCATGCAGGTAGCAAAGGTACTGTAAGTCCCAATGGTCCCTAGTATGGTGATCTACCTTCTGTTGGTGGCGATCTATAGCCCGTGTTTTATATTGTATTGCCTTCTTTAATTGGAATGTTTTAGCTTTGTTCGCTAGTTTTATATTATATCTGTGATTATCTAGTATTTTTACTGTCCATCCTCGGCAGGTTTTAATCTTCAAACTATTTTCACTTTTTTATTGTATAACTTGTTTTCGTCACGATATGGCTGAGATATTGCCGATGTGACGTTAAATATTAACTCACTCACTCACGCTATATGTACATTTCTGCCTGATTGGTGTTTCATAAGGTCTTAAGGGGTGTACTTGAGAGGCTAACTGTCACAACTAGGACGTTATAATAACGGTGTCTGATTCGTGATATGTGTGTAACAAAATCCACGAGTAATCGTTACAAATTATAAAAATCACGTACTTATGTTTGTATCCTGTCTTTAATAACATAACGTAACTTTATCACTTTCATATAAATCAGACCCCTGACGGTCGGGTTGTCCTTGATCTACAGCAAACGATGCTTGTCGTAAGAGGGGAGTAACGGGGATTGGGTGGTCAGGTTCGCTGACTGGTTGACACATGTCATCGTATCCCAAATGCTCAGGACGATGCTCATGCTGCTGATCACTGGATCGTTTGGTCGCCGTCATATAGCTGGAATATTGCTGAGTGCAGCGTTACACAGCAACCAAACGGAATCATATAAATCAATGTGGTGCGTTTGCCTATTCCAACATTAACATATGAGAGTGAGTATGTGTCTACCACCGTTTCTAATATTCACGCAAACCCTGAAATGGGGTTCATGCAGTGTATTGAGGTCGATGAAGAGACCAGGATGTTCGTAACAAGCTTACGGTTGAACTACCGGGCTGACTCTGCGCATCACACATTATAACCTCCACGATATGACTGGAACTCCAGGGAACGCGTCCTTTAACATACCAGACAGACATATACAGTAAAGTTTCCCCAACATTGGTGATATTAATATCAACCACATACATGAGTGTCAGTCTGTTACCAAGGTAGTTGGAGATTACATGTAGCACATATCGCACTGTAAACTACATAATATACACACTCAGATTGAATCACAAGGGTTTGAAGATCACTTGGACCTTCAGGCAACGGTTGTGAACTGTGCGATCTACAGGAGTGTTGTTTTGTGGCCACAAGGTCAGGGCAGACCTACCTGTATGAAAATGTTTATGTTGTCGGCCTCCAGCTGCGTCATCCCCCATCCAATACGCCAATTCAAATGGTATCAGCGTTCAACATCCAATGAACCCAATCAGCCGCGGAAAGAGGTGTATCGACAATGAACCACTCTTTATTTATCCCACAAAGGCCCTTTGAATTTACCTACCTACTTTGGTTGTGGCGATCCTGTTACAGCTTTTCACTCCCGTGGTGCAAATGTACTGCCATAGAAACATAATGGGTTTATTTGTTTAGCCAAGCGAAGGTAAGGCAAAAATATTCTGTCGTAAACAAGAGGTGAGTTATACATCTCTTTCCCAGGATGACTGCTGAGTGATTCGTCAAGCCAACATTCCAGCACAGTGGTGGCAGTCATACGTACATATATGTCTAGAAATTATTGTATTTGATTTCCGGATTATTTGACTCACGAAGAGTATTTGGGTGCGCCGACACATTCAGTCGCGATATTCCCCAACATACAAAATCACGGGTCGTGATCAAATATAAGATAACATCCCTGACTGACGTCATGGCGCCAGTGGATATATCCTTATGAGTCATTGGATGCATGCGTATATCACAGTGACAGTTTCTATTGGTGATTGACTGTACCCCTATGTGGTAGTTGATAACTATGTACCTCTGTACAATAATGAATCTGCTAGCAGTGAATGACTGCGTGTACCTTTATGATGGTGAAAGACTCTACGCCCATATAACAGAGAATGGCTGTGTGCCCCTGAACGGTAAATGGTTAGGCGAACTTGTACAACAGTGAATGACTGCATGCCCCTTTACAACAGTGATAATATTATTATTATAATAATAATAATATCTTACTGCTCTTCCAGTGATATAATTTACAGAGTGCAGAAAGGGGCGAGAAAGGGATGTTGGGGGGTGCAAGGATCAACTTCTTGTACAGAAAATGATTTTGGAAGAGGCTAAAACATATCACAGCAACCTCTCCATGTGCTCGATTGACTACAAAAAAGCATACTACTCTGTCCCTAAAGAATGGATTCTGAAGTCTCTTTGTTGTATTGACCTCCCGGAGCGACTACTTAATTTACCCAAGTCTTTAATGAGTTGCTGGTCGACTCAACTCGCAAGGGCAGGTGCAGACTTCAGAAACTATTCCAATCAGATGGGGAATTTTCCAGGGGGACTCCTTCAGTCCTTTGCTTTTTTTTGTTTGTCTCTAAATCCTTTGAGCTTTCTGCTCAACAGAGAGAAGGGTTACCATCCCGGACCTCCTCAGCACAGATCCCCAACACCGCTTACTCATCTCCTTTACATGGATGACATCGAGCTCTTTGCCAAAGGAGATACCAATTTGAAAGAACAGGTTCTCCTTGTCGAGTCCTTTTCTAATGATATTGGCATGACATTTGGGCTCGACAAATGTAATACTCTTTATTTGAAACGTGGCAAGGTAACTAATGGTGGATCGGTCAAGTTACAGGGTTGGGGAGGAGTTATTGAACATCTTGTGGAAGATCAGGCCTACACCTATCTTGGAATGCAAGTTCGAGACAAGTTCCAGAATGCCCAAATTCAAGACAAACTTCGGGCCGAGTACAAAACTCGTTTAAAGTAAATCTGGAGCTCAGAGCTAAATGATCGAAACAAGGTCAAAGCCACCAATACTTTTGCTGTGCCAGTCCTTTCCTATTCCTTTGGAGTAGTTGATTGGACAAAACAAGACATCCAGAGTCTTGCCCGCCTGACCAGAAGGATCATGTCTGATAACAGAGCCCACCCCCCTCGTTCCTCTCTTAACCGTTTATATATGCCAATCAATTCTGGTGGTCGGGGTTTGATTAATGTGGAGGCTCTTCATGACAGAATTTTATTGTGTACTTTTGCACATATTTATTTATCGGATGATCCTCTGGTGATGCATGTCAAGATTCATGATGAAAGCAAAGAATTACACAGCTATTTTAATCGTGCTAAGGTTTTTTTTTTGTTGATGGCGATGTACTGCTGGACGGTACAACGATGGGAGTAAACCAGGTGAAGCCCTTCACCAAGTCTGCCCCGAGTCGGTCATTTGTGGAGAAGCTTTCTGAGAAAAAATTGCATCGTTTGTACATGCAGTGTGTGGAACAGAATAGCAATCCCAACGACTCCTTCGCCTTGATGAAGTCGGCAGGTCTTAAATGTGAAAATGAGGGCTTCCTTTTTATGCCGCTCAGGACCAGTCACTGCCCACTCGTAATCGCCAAAATGTGATTCTTAAAGAAAATATCAATATGAAAGGTCGACTATGTAATGAATTTACAGAGACTGCCCAACATCTTGTCAGTGGATGCCCTTCTTTGGCACAAACAGCCATTATGGCATGGCTCGTTGCTTTTACTACCGTCTCCGCCATGTCTGTGGCTTTGACTCCGAGGTCCATCAATGGTACGACCCTGAACATGTCCAGGGCGTCAGGGCGTCAAACTTCTGTGGAATAGGCCCATATACAGCCTCTGAAGAATTCCTGCCAACAAACCTGATCTTGTCCTTTTTGATCAAGCCAATGAATGTATTTATATTGTTGAGTTCAACAATAACAATTTTGATATCAGTCTATAGAAAAAAGAAATCAGATCACAAATCAAATGATTTAATTCCTTTGTTTGTCTATAAAACATAGAGTATCAAACAGTATTCAACAACAAGTCGAATATATTATTGTATATGGTTTTACAATAGCACGACATATACAAAAAGACAATGCACATAGTGTAAATGGAGAAACTCCTTAATCCGTACAGGTTCACTTGACACGGTAGATGCGCAGTATATTCACAGATGTCAATGCGACGTCGACCCACAATAGAAGATTGAGCATAAGTCACGAAGTTGCATATCAATGTATCCCTGTTGAAATAAGACTCCAGATAGTCGGTGGTTGTCACACACAGAGACAAGGCTCCAAATAGTCGACGGTTGTCACACACAGAGACTTGAGATCCCAAATGCCGAACCCTGGCGATATGGCAAAGTTGTCTATGCCCACTTCTCTTTTTCCTTGTAAAGTAGGTCTATGAACCCCAATCATTAACATCAGAAATCTTACTTGATGACCAAAGTTAGTCAAGTCTTCCGGGAAGATCAACTGTTTGGAAGATGTAATCATGCTTTCGTTGTTGGTCGTCGATCAGACTGAAATCGTTGGTTTTCCTCCGAGTTAAAACGATTGTGTTACCCTTTCTGAAGTGAGTCACAGTTATAATTCGGTATCAACACCATCAATATTGCAAGGATTAACAGTAGTCAGGAACAGTGTAATGTGAGACCTACATTATTGTTGCGTATGGCATCAGCTGGCGTATGATGTAACGCTCACTCAAGTAATGATTAACTCACATACTGACAATTGGCCTGTCATGTCGTCCTCAGTATAAGGCATTTCCCCTGTACGTGGATGGCAATCTGGTGGTCAGGTTCGGTGACACCTGTGCTCGTACCTGTTTGTCCCAGTTGGACCTGTCTGCAGTCTGTTCTGGTTTCTTCTTCTAACGGCGCCAACAGAACAGGTATTGGATGACCTCCCACAGGAACTGAAGCACTTCAGCCAGACTCAGCACTGAGAGCCCCACCCACAGACCTACCGTGCCTCCGATGTCGGAATAAAATTGAACATCCTAAAATCAGAAATACACTCATAAAAATAATATCCACTTATTCACTCAGCGACATTTGGAATCAACGAAGTAGTTCCTTCTATGCGAACACTATTAGCGTCTTATTTCTGTATCACCTACTTACATACAATATGCAATTATATCTTTACAATACTGCCTTTTAGTGTGATAAATATAATTCGCAATAATATTCGCAAATGAAGATCATTCTCGTTCAGTTCGAAAATATTATTGGTAAGTTATTCCGTTTAACAATGTTATTGATATTAGGTTATTTGTATGTAGTACTTCTTTGATAATAACTTTTAGCAAGTGTCACAGTCATGTGTTTTTATATATGTATTGATATTATGGTATCGTTATTACTGAAAATTTCGAGGAATGCTACAAAAACCTAAATTATATCTACATCGCGACACCTGTAATTGTGAGTGGCGGTCATTATCTCGCACCTCGACGTAGCAGCGTGTGTGGGTCTGTATGAACAGGCCCGGTCAAAATTGAAACATTAAAAAATATGTTTGATATAAATATGGATATTATTGAGAGCATCCAATAAGATCGCGCATCCAATAAGATCGACGACTGACCTTCCCAATGGATGATAAACATACCTCATACGCTGGTGTTTCTGTTATATTTTCAAAGTTTAAATCTTCAAAGAAAATGTTGATCTTCATGAAGTTTCGACTGAAAATGTAAAAACAAGTGTCAATATGACTTACATATAAAATGATGAGTGAGTGAGTATGGTTTTACGCCGCTTTTAGCAATATTCCAGCAATATCACGGCGGGGTACACCAGAAATGGGCTTCACACATTGTGCCCATGTGGGGAATCGAAACTCGGGTCTACTGCGTGATGAGCCAACGCTTTAACCACTAGGCTACCCCACCGCCCCTATAAAATGATGAATTCTACTGTCAGCGTGAGAGAGCTAGATCTATTCTTGGTGTTTGGTTTGCGCCCAGAATGTCTTTCCGACTGTTGTGTGTGTAGCTCCTGCTCAAAATTAACATGTATCATGTATCACCGAATCATATACATCGGAATGTGTGGCAGCCTCGTCATTTCGTGACCCAGATTCGAGATGTTGTTTTCTTATGATGACTGGAACGTTCTTTTTCATAAATACGCACGAACCAACCGTGAAATACTCTGTTCTGGTCAGCCATGTACATGAAAACAGTTCACACGGACTACAGATTTCGAAATCCGTGAGGATGTGAATCAGAGTTGGTTTTCAGGAACGAAGACTAGTCGTAGGAGAGGATAAACAGGATCAGGTGGTCGGGTTCGGTGACTTAGTTCTGCATGACATTGTATTGCAGTAGATCGATGTAAATCACTGGATTGTGTGGGCTACATTGAATTATACACAGACCGCCGTTTTTTAGCTGAATATTGCTGAGTGCGGCTTGAAAAACAAACAAAACAAACAGTGAATCATATTTGTACAGATGATGGCGTGAGTCAGCGTACAAGTCACAGTCGGTGATGACGAGTAAGCCCATTCGGATGTCCTTGTGATTTGTATGCATGTGGTGAGTTCACGGATCATTGCAACAATTTAACCATTTATTACAAGCACAGGTCAAATCTTCAATGCCCGTCTCTGATACAACCTCTCACGAACAGCCTACTCACCTGAGTTCCCGAGGATCCATTTTTTCAAAACGTTCGCACTCGGATTCGTTCTTGTTGTTGCATAAGTACTGAATCAGCATCGTCTGTAAACAATTACAATGTACTTTACAATGCAATAGTATGCAATATATATGGCAGTGGTCACAATTCACTAAGTTTCTCAAAGAGAAAATGAGTTTTCGTTTCCTTTTAGTTCACAATGTTATTATTCCAACTTCGTTTTAGGTTCTAAATTTATTCTTCACTGGCCTGATGTTATCTTTCTACAGGTAAATATGACTGGTTGTCCTGGGATATTACGAAAAGATGAGTTGGACCAGGTTATAACGCATATCATGCTTCACTTTTGTGTTTATCACAAGTATATAATTGTACGCTGTTGTCGCTGTTGCGGAAATCTTGTAAAAATACACACGCACGTTCCCACGCGTGAACGTATGATGTGTCCGGAGACCGCACGTGTAACTGGATGTAACTTACTGCATACGCATCGGAAGGCCACATGCGAGTGTTCGTAGTTTTCTCATACAATGTCTCACTGAAATAGAAAAAGGGGTCCATGAATACAGTGTAGTTTGAAAAACTGAAAGTTTTAGCAAGAATAGGAAGAATTAAAATATTTGGATACTTTCGTCAAATGGGCAGCTTTGTTGACGGGTCAGTGTATTGTACTTGGGGTCAGTCTCTTAATCTGGTTATTGCTTGGAGCAGAACTGATATGGCGCATCAAAGAATTGATATGATAGGGGACGCGGATGGGGCAACGATGGGCTGAATGGTCATGAATTGAGAGGGGAGAATGACATATTATTGTGTGTAGATGGACAACATACTGGCATGGGTTGAAGCAATTGCACTGGAACAAGCCCGTCTCCCATCTTGACTCGATCTGAAGTAAGCACGCCGTTTCTGAAGAACAAAGCCACAGCCTAAAGGAAAATGTGTTATCATAGAATCATTTTGCAGGTCCTGTATCCACACACCTCTGCTTTATACCATTGCAACATGTGACTAAAGTTCTGTATCCACACACCTCTGCTTTATACCATTGCCACATGTGACTGAAGTTCTGTATCCACACACCTCTGCTTTATATCATTGCCACATGTGACTGAAGTTCTGTATCCACACACCTCTGCTTTATACCATTGCCACATGTGACTGAAGTTCTGTATCCACACACCTCTGCTTTATACCATTGCCACATGTGACCGAAGTTCTGTATCCACACACCTCTGCTTTATACCATTGCCACATGTGACTGAAGTTCTGTATCCACACACCTCTGCTTTATACCATTGCCACATGTGACCGAAGTTCTGTATCCACACACCTCTGCTTTATACCATTGCCACATGTGACTAAAGCTCTGAAAGCAATTTTAGATTTTCCTTTTTACCATCTTTCTCGGTATAACTGATATATCTTTCTCGGTATCACTGTGTATTTGGCTTTGCTGATTTCTAAGATCCACTACTCTGTTCGCTCCAGTCATGACTCTCAGGATACAAGCTAGTCTGTCTCACAGTCCCTGAACCACATTAATTTCCCTACTGCCAAGCCCTCTCTGCAGTGCTAAAGCCCCAAATAAAGCAAGTCTAGATTTCCTCAGGTTCAGAATCTCTGGTCTCCCTAGGGCTCCTTTTCAATATAAATGGGCTTGTTTGTTACTATCAAAATTATATGGATTCAGAGACTTAGCCTTAGTCTAGATACAAGCATAATGTACCGGGGATCTCTTCTGTGGCAGAATATCTACACTGCTCTAGCCTGGTGCGCCGAGCTCTGTGTCAGAATCACTATGGAACACAGTAACATGAACCTGGGCACCTAATCTGTACTGGGTTCACTATGTGGACACAGACATAGGTTTACCGAGACGTCTCTTCAACTGGGGTGGAACATATACATACATGTATGACACATACCTTCTCTGGTCCGGCATGGGTGAACTTTCCTCCCCGGCATCGAGCTATTAATGTTTTCATACAGTGTTTCCTTAAGTTCATCATAGCAACCACATCGGTTGATGATTCTCTCGTGCACACAGAATGTCTGACAAGACTGAAATAAACACAGTAGATATATGCTTACAGATTCATTACTAAACAATACGAAATCTATATCACTTTTTCATCATTGGCAATGCTAAAAGGTCTTTAACAACTGCTTTTTTAATATTGTTTCAAGCATGTTCATAAATATATTGAAGTAATCATAAAGGGCAGCCTTGTATTTTAGTCTTACAGATCCGCTGGACCAAATGTCCTTTTCGTATGCTAATTAATCTACTCTTAATAACAACTGGAAGCAGGAACCCTGCAACGCATAAACACTACAGACTGGCGACTCGTACCTTCCTGGTATATTCCATCCCATATCTAGCTTTAAAGGCTGTGCCGTCATCACAATCACCATACAGCCCACCCAGCCTGTGAATCTCAAGCTGAAATATGCAGACGTCAGCTAAAATACTTGTTGATTACAAGAGAGACGAAAAATCATAAGAATAAGATTAAACATATATCTAATAACAGAAGAGTCTATTATCCGATTTTGACCATGTGATAATTCTTTTGAAAAGTCGACAAACACATGCAATGTCAGTGTCAGTTGTTCACCTGAATCAAACTGGAACACGTCATCACATTTGAATGAATCAGATAACATTGTGGACACTGATGCCAAAATCGTAACATATCTTTCATGGGTCTACTATGAATAAACAGTTTTCAGACCTCCATCATGCATAAATATTTTCTGAGGCAATATATTGAATAGTGTAAGCCTGGCTAAACAACCATTGAGCATTAGTCGCAAGGCGCTTAGTAGACTTCTTGATTGTACCTGGAAGTAGTGAAATGTATACACCAAAGGCTGTAGCGGCTAGACTTTTACCATAAATACAGGTAAAGTGGGGGAACGTGAGTTAGAACTTTTCAACATACCATACGCATGCCTATATTCGTTTCCATTGTAGCTGAAACTGATATCCCATCAACTTCCGGGTCAGGCCAAGTGTTTGTACCGTGTATTAGAAACTGGGCCCCAATACCGGAAGCAATTGTTGATATATACTCGTCAGTTTCCAAAAACAGTATCAGCTCCAGACCTATAAGAACACAGGAAAGAAGATATTGGTGTATATACCTCCATGAATGGGAAAGGATGTCATTGGGTAAAGGTTTTTATATCCAGATGAATGAGAACATCGGACAGTAGATATTGGTGTATATACCCCCGTGCATTAGAAAGCAAATCACTGGATAAAGGGTTGTATATGTAGATGAACATAGGACAGTGATAAAGGATAAAGGGTTGTATATATAGATGAACATAGGACAGTAGATAAACGATAAAGGGACATGTAGATGAACATAGGACAGTAGATAAAGGATAAAGGGTTGTATATATAGATGAACACAGGACAGTAGATAAAGGATAAAGGGTTGTATATATAGATGAACATAGGACAGTAGATCAAGGATAAAGGGTTGTATATGTAGATGAACATAGGACAGTAAATAAAGGATAAAGGGTTGTATATATAGATGAACATAGGACAGTAGATAGAGGATAAAGGGTTGTATATGTAGATGAACATAAGACAGTAGATAAAGGATAAAGGGTTGTATATATAGATGAACACAGGACAGTAGATAGAGGATAAACGGTTGTATATGTAGATGAACATAGGACAGTAAATAAAGGATAAAGGGTTGTATATATAGATGAACATAGGACAGTAGATATTGGTGTACATACATCCATGGATAGGAAAGAAGGTCATTGGTAAAGGGCTGTACATCCAGATGAATGAGAACATAGGACAGTAGATATTAGGCTGTATACCTCCATGAAATACATTTGATAACGGCTATTTGCCAGGTATGATGGGATGGTACGGCGAGTTTGATTCCTTAGGAAGTACGGATTCAAACGGGCCGTATCCTATACTACGTGGCAAATAACAATGTAGGTAATAATATACCTACGGTAGTTAAAAGGTTAATCACCGATATGAATGAGAACACGTGTACGAGTAGGTAGAGAAAACACAAAGCTACTACCAAAGAACACCACATTGTCCGTATATTCATGGTATGTGGTAATTCGTATTATAGCGGCTCTGTAGTAGTTCAGTTTGATTTAAACATATTTATTCAAGAGAATGGATTGGGTACAAGTTATGCCAACTTAGTGAAACCCTCTCCTATTTACAGTGCTTACATGCAAAAGTGAGACAAACTATATGTACAGGGATAGAAAGATATATACAAAATGATATATACAATACAATGAGTACATTAATTATTTAGATCATACACATTATATCCAATCACTGAACCTTTTGGAATTTGATATATATTTTTGAACTTCCGTTTTACACCCCTACTACCCTTAATAGTCACTGAACCAAGCAATGCCAGGTATCACTGCATTTCCGTTGTTATTACAGTAATGGCCTCTACTTTGGAGAAGAATATTTGATTTTCGGATTTAATCATGATTTCGAACATCAGTTCATCTACAACGCTTTGTGCTAAAACAATGTATCTTACCATAGGATGGGCCGCTCCGGAAGCTGACGAATTCATAGTTCTCTAGAGTGTAACAGTTTCCATACGCGGACGAGGGGTGGATCCTAAAATAACTACAATGGACAAGATTATCTTTGCTGATTAACGTTGTACGCATGAATATTACAGACTGGCTTCCTGAGCATCGATCAAAACAATTATACGTGCATACGATGGCATGTTAGTCGCTGACCCCGCTAGGAATAGAAATGAGATGTACAACTTCCCTAATTACTTATAATTTGATGCAATTGTCCAATACACTCAAGTACACGGCAACAACAATGAATGTACACATAAGTTACTGTTTCATTACACAATGCAATTCTAAACAATTTTTAAAATCGTATAAGCATAAGCGTAGAGATGAAATTATGTATGAATCAAGTTTAGAAATACATGAAAATTGTTTAACAGCATCGTAAAATTAATTCAGTAGTAATGTAAGCGTTGAGTACAGAATTGATATAGCAGTAATTAGATGTGTACACGCCCACGTACCTGTCGTTGCACACCACACCAGAGAATGCACATGACACCAGCATGTCTGAGATTGAGTGGCCCATCGCGATCCGGGTTTCCCTATTCGACAATAAAAACAGAATGTCACTGCCATAAAACAACCAGTCTCGAAATGAATCCATTACGCATAAAAGGTCAAATAGATACGAACATTGTAAAAAAACATCGATGACGCCCGTTGTCCAGAGTGGATGCAAGTTCTGAAGTTTAAACCAATGTACTTGTCGTGTGTGAGGTGGTTCTGCATGCTGCGTGCGATATGTACATGTTGTGTGTGAGCTATAGTATGACATGTTGCATGTGACATACAGAATATAAGTGTGATATCAACATGTTGTGTGAGCGGCCATGTGACACACTAGGTGTGATATCTACCCGTTGTGTGAGCGGTCATGTGACACACTAGGTGTGATATCTACCCGTTGTGTGAGGGGTCATACGATGTCTACATAGTGTGTGATTTGACATGTGACATACTAGGTCAGATATCTACCTGTCTTCTAAGCTGTACAGGTGGATGAATTCCTTGCGGATTTCTTGGAGGGTTGATCTCTGACCGGAAAAGAAATTAGGCGTGTTTCCTCAGCAGGTGGTTCCATGTACTCTGGTCTCCTGATGTTAGTGAAGTTGTACTCAATACTATCAACAAAGCGTTTTCTGCGACCAGGCGGTGGTGGGTTTGGTGGTGAAGGAGGACTTCCGGGCTGACTTGGGCCCTGGTTTGGGTTAACCGGTGGTTTCTGTTCCTGAAATACAATATCAACAGAATGTAGCCTCATATCAGGTGTTTGGTATGATGGAAACATTAAGCGACTATAGAGTCAATTGTTTCGTTGTTTGTATTGCTTTATAGATTAGTCGAGTAAAGGGGTAACAATGGATTGGTGTAAACCAAAGCTGCAGGCCATAAACATAACATATATTTCGTATGGGTGATGTAAAGTTGAGGATTATTGGTATTATTTAATTATAGGATTAACCCGTGAAGGTCCAGGTTAGAATATTGATCTTCAGTAACCAATGCTTGTCGTAAGAGGTGACTAACGGGATCTGGTGGTCAGGCTCGCTGACTTGGTTGACGCATGTCATCGGTTCCCAATTGCGCAGATCGATACTCATGCTATTGATCACTGGATTGTCTGGTCCAGATTCGATTATTTACAGACCGCCGCCAAATAGCTTGAATATTGCTGAGTGCTGATCAAATCAATAACACAAGTCAGTCAGCTGAACCCAGCAAGTTTGTTGCGGTTAATGTGAAGACTCACTAACTGAGCAGCTTTCTGCATCACTCCATGTGTCAGAAATGCTATCTTCTTCAATATGACTGTCTGAAAGGTACCAAACATAAGCCATTGCTTACAACAGTGAATGTGTCAACATGGTACTTGTGATGTAATGAGGACCTGGAAACGTCTAAGACTGCATCATGTCACTTGAGATACACTGGTTGTACCACAGAAGGATATCCATCCAATGGCGGTGTGCTTGACAGTTTCTTCTTTAAACGTATTGTACGGTCTAATGTTTTAATGTTCTTATCACATTTACATTTTGTTTCATCTAATTTACCAAGCTGACTCTTTGGGAATGGTTTGGTAAACTTAGTTAAATTGGTTTGTTGCTTTCCGTTTCTCAGTCTACAATTCAGAGATTCAAGTTCAAATTGACACGAACATGCCGCGGAAGATGTTCAGAAAGTTTGGTTCAGGGGAATAAAATAATTCCCATCTGGATCCACACCAGAGAGGCGCACATCATCATTATCATCATCATTGGGATTGTTCTTGATGTTATTGCATTTATAGATGTGATCAACATCATCCCCATATTATGATTATGTATTTCAAATGCAACAAAAGCACTAACCTTAATTGAAGAAGCAACAGCCTCTGGTCTAATCGTCCGTAAATAATTCTTCAGTTCCTTACTGCCCCTCGAGGCCATCGAAGATTTAACAGGGTTCACATTGCAGAAGGTGATCGAGGGGAACTTGAGGTTCTGGAAGCCAAGCTTTATCTGCGTCTGTCTTTCAAAAAGAAAGTAAGTTGAGCAGAGTGTGTAGAGGTGGATGCCCATGGCCACCATGGCTCCCAGGAGGAGCAACGTCCACACCAGTTTTGCGTACCAGGTCTTTGAAGTGTTGATGTAGGGAATCCCTTGCATGGAGGTCCGATCAGCGAACCGGGTCAATACCCTTTTGAAGGTCTTGGGGTTTCCGTCGGAGTTGCATTCCTCGGACTCTGTATGGGACGGAGGCTGGTATTTCTGATGGAACATGTTGCCTCGCCCCCAGTTGCCGCTCAGGTCCTAGAAAGACAAGTAACTTGAAATTAGGCGACAACTACTTATTTGTCTTTTGAGTTTCGTGATCATTTTCCAGTAGGTTTAGTGTTGATTTTAAAATCACGAAGAATTTAATAACCTACTTACATTGCAATTTTCTTTCACGAAGACTCAGAAAAAAGTTTAAAACTGATTGCCGGATGTACCTGTGTATGAATTTGGTTAAAGACATATGGATATGTTCAAAGGGGAAACTATCGTTCCAGCGATTCCCTTAGCGTTTGTACTCCAAGCAAGAACTAATGTCGGCAATGAACATGTACAAAAGCACTCACTTCAAAAGCTGTCAATATTGATGTGCTAGAAATGTAGCAAGATGAATATATTGTTGTCTGCATTGACTTCATATCACCGGACCCGTGAAGGTCCGGGTTACAATTGATCTTCAGTAACCAATGCTTGTCGTAAGAAGCAACTAACGGGATCGGGTGGCCAGGCTCGCTGACTTGGTTGACACATGTTATCGGTTCCCAATTGCGTGGATCGATGCTCATGATGTTGATCACTGGATTGTCTGGCACAGACTCGATTATTTACAGACCGCCGCCATATAGATGGAATATTGCTGAGCGCGACGTAAAACTAAATTCACTCACTCAATCACTCGTACGGGCATGGGTGGTACTGCTGTCTAAGGCATCCCCTTCGCTGCCAGGAACCTGCTCGATCGTGTTGCTACGATTGTCAGCACTATACCTGTCCTTGTGGGTTTAACTACATGGGTGAAAGCCTGGGAAATGCATCACTGACGACTTTCCTCACGCATTCAGCCGTCAGGCCTCACTACAACTGGTGTATTGTTCAAAGCGGCAAAAATTCCCTCATATATTCAAATTGATTCGCTATTCGCAAAACAATCAATTCGCAAACTGTTTGTGTAAAGTAACACTCCACACTATTACAGCGGCGGTCTTTAAATAACGGAGGATTATTGACTTCCGTCTTTTGAACACATACGAAGGAAATAGAGTAAATGAGTGAGTTTGGATTTATTACTTTTAAAGACGCGTTTCAACCACTTGGCTCATACCCCCACACCCACACCCACACCCACACCCACACCCACACCCACACCCACACCCACACCGAAAACATAATAGTTTTTCACGCACAGCCTGAGACAAAATATTTTTAAGATACAACCTAAGGATATTCATCACCACCGCCAACACCACCACATCCACACATGTGCGCTAATTTTATGGGGATCCCCTGGTATCATCATTGTATATAAGTGATTCAGTGACACCACCAAAGACATAGTTTTGCGAAATATGGATTTGTTAGTAACATTAGTTCGGTAGCATACCTAAATGTACACCACCCCTGTTTACCATTGTTTCATATTCCGGGAATCGTGATCCATTAGTTTATACTATCACTGTTCATCAGTGTTCTATGATCCCACTACCTATCCAGTAGTATGTACTGCTACTGATTTTCATTCATAAGTAATCGTTGGTAACAATGTACATACAAAAGTGTATGTATGTGTGTACAGTGTTTTTTCTCAAGTATGTTTACATGTAATATGTACTACAAAACACGTGACTTGTTGATATGATCCTCGGAATCTCGTGGCCTCATTAGCAAATATACTTACACACGTGCATGTGCGTCATGTAAGCTGAGTCAACAATAGACGTTGAAAAGACACCAAGATGCGTCAAGTGTTTGCGGTGTACAGTGACAATGATAAGTGCGGCTGGTAAGAACTGTCATAAAAGGGGCATGGATGTGGCCGATTGAGTGTATATTAAGACTCCTATTTATACTGATGAATTATGAAGGATGGTCGCGTTACACATCTCAGTAACAAATGCCCGTCTTCTAACACCCCGGGGCGTGTGAAGTTTATCTCAAACTGAATAAAAACCCATAAAACGATATTGCCTACACTAATACTGTTCCGTGTGACCCACTCGAAGTTAAAGATCTGTTGTAGCTAAATAACATCACGTTATGAATACAGCATTGTTGTCCTACAGATGTGTTACCTACAACAGTACGTAGTGTTTGACACTGAGTCGAGGCTAAAATAGGTCTCTTGTAACTTGGTCAACATGAATTAATTTATGTCTTAAAATACCTTTTTCATAACATATGGAGATTGACCCAAATAATCATAAAAGTGTGTGGTTTTGTCACATAATTAATTAAATAGGAAGGCACTTCAGAAGATTCTGCACTAGACCCTAAGGTATGAATCCAAGATATGAATACATATGCGTATGTACATACTAGTTTTCTTTAATCCATGACATGATATATTACATCATCACATGAATATGAATTGCTCAGTCCCCGGATTACACAAGGTATTTGCCCCATTCCCACGACCTGCTTGCGACCTCTTCGAATTGGACATTCTTCATTGCGTAATCATATAAAATGAGCAATTATTTCCGTTCGTGAACAAATATTTTGTATTGCAAACTTCAGTGAACTTGTTTCATGATAATGTAATGCAAGAATAACTTCTAAAAAAACATATCTTCATAGTCTGGAAACCATGCAGTTTAGTATTTTAACATCTATAGAAAATATCAGTCGTCGTGTTTAAGGTGACAGTGACTGTAGATTCCCTGAATGCTAATGCTGTTGTCAACATTGCCACATCATTTAACATTTATGGTAACATTACTATGATAACCACCATGCTATGCTTCATCCTTGTATCAATCAAACTAAATCAAACATGCATTTTTGTCTGAACACTAATTTTTCAAACTTTCTACAGGTGTCAAGTATCAATTCTCAGCTGTTTTCATGATATCCATGGTTCTTTAGAAATATCCATTGATGATGATGATGATGATGGACAATCGATTAACGTATTATCGGTTAATCCTTTAAACACATTATGCTTTTTACGAACGAACACACATCATGTCATCTCTGCTCCGAAAACCACCAACAAGAGTATGAAATTCGAACATCATACAATATGTATTCAGTAAAGACGGGCTCACATTGCGTAGATGTGTTCGGTCTTCGATCCACTTGCAAAAATACACATTTACTTTCATTCCGAAAAATAACACTGATCCGTCACTCGGCAAATACTCTGGTGTGCAGTTATACAATGAAACATGGATGACAAGGGAATGGTGATTATTCCATTTCATTGTTGCAAAAATAATACACGTTTTTCAAAACATATTCGTTCATGCACGTTTACTTGAATTGTTTGTTTTCATTACACCCCGCGAAAGTTTGTAGAGGACGCAGAAACGTGTTCCGTGAGTCAAGTTTTGTTTTAGGACAATAACCCAATCGATTTCAAACCGTGCAAGTGGATGTTTTGTCAGACAACCTAATCACATTATAAATCACCGATTTTATGCATTTGTATTAAAGAATCTGTCTATGTAACTGTCAACAAAATAAACAGCAGAACGCAGAATGCTTGCAGAGGGAGGGTGCCAATGACCTGTAACAGCGGCAGTGTTGGGTCATAAAGGTCAACGTTCGTGAAAGTAGGTCAGCTATGTACGTGACAGGTATGAAGAGGTGTTCAGTTTTAGCAAATAGCCTGCGAATGACATCTCTGATGACCCTGATGTCAAAAGAATCTAACTTTGGATGCCTACCTTTTTGTACAAGGTTTTGTTGATTGGTTGTTGGTTTATTTTTCACAATTTTTAGCACGATGTTCTTTTTCATGCCAGGAGCAAAAGTTGTACGTTTCATGTAATCCGACACCTTATAAATCGGTTTGCTACGTTTGTTCTCTTTTTAAAAATAATTCAACACATTTCTAATTAAACGTTTAGCATCATCTGAATAAGCTTTCATGATGACAGCTAGAAGTAGTCAATGTGAATGATCCAAACGGTCCCATCACTGTGCAGTGCACAGGTAACTATCATGAACTGCACGTGCATTTTCCTTTATGACCCAACACTGCCGCTGTTACAGGTCATTGGCTCCCTCCCTCTGCAAGCATTCTGCGTTCTGCTGTTTATTTTGTTGACAGTTACATAGACAGATTCTTTAATACAATTGCATAAAATCGGTGATTTACAATGTGATTAGGTTGTCTGACAAAACATCCACTTGCACAGTTTGAGATCGATTGGGTTATTGGATGAAGAGATATTTACAAAAAACCGGATCCACATGCATTTCATGCCAAACTATAGTACCGAGTGTCATTGGGATGTTGTTACTTTTGTTATTTTCTTCGTTTTTGTGGCAACCAGTTGAACTACAAATGAGAGGATGGGGGTTGCTTCAAGGGCATAAACCATAAACTGCGTCTCTTTTCTTTGTACCAGGTAAGTAATTTTTTAAAGATTTAGTTTTTACAAATTGAACTAAGGTTCAAATGAAGGTTTCATATCGCGTTTTTTCATGTTATAATTACTCACGAATCTTACTTTTTTGTTTCAGGCGGTATATGACACATATTGTTTGATTTCTGTACATATTTCAACTAAGGCTGGTGTTGTCCATCTTACATCAGAGTCAATAATATGCAATAACTAAACACACTGGCAAAATTAGGCTCCGTTTACGGTCATTCATAAAACAAATGTTTATTTTCAATACTGATTGACTTGACACTATTATACGACATGATAATATCTCGCAGTGAAACAAAGAAATGGGTGTAAATCAATCTCAGTCATTCTATTTGTGGCGCAGTCAGAAATTCGTAACTTCTCTCCCTGCGGATATACTTTCACCATCTGGGTTGCCGTCGTTTTGTTTGTTTGATACAGTTTATGGAATGAGATAGTATGTTCCCTTTGAAACATCGAAAACTTGAAAGATTTGGAGTAACCAGTCAATATTCAGAAATGCGCAGAGAGATTACTTCAAAGTGAATGTCCACCCTGTGTGTGAGAGAACGCGCGTGCGTGCGCGTGTGGTGAAGAAAGTTACTGAAAATAAAGTCAAGCGACAAAACAATATCCATGATCAACAGAAATATGTCTACTCAACTATGCACTATTCTGACTATACAGATTCATGAGTCTGTCATGACGATTCTTAGGTTCGTGTATCCTGCTCCACTGGATGTGTTTCATTCTGTTTTTCACAGAAGTTGTATACATTTATATAAACAGTGGAGCATTAATATTATATTTTTCATCAGATAAACTATCAGTTACACATCTACTTATACAATACGTGGTGTGTTATATAGCTATGTAGACACTCGGTGATCACAGTGTAGAATGTTGAAAGATTACATTAAATTGTTCAACAAGCGTTCTTACCATGCTCTGCTGGTAGTCTGCTGGAGGTTCCCAGTTTCTACGGTATGGTTTTTCCATTGCGTCGTCTCCAAAGACGCGTGTGAAGTTGCCGGAGTACCCGGGATAGTCGCGCAACTGTTTGCTGTTGCTTCTTTTAACAGACATGGTGTGGGCGTGTCTCTCTATTGACAGCGGGACAATGACAACAAGCCCCCTAGGTACAGGTCCACGCAGTTATCCTTTAGGCAATAATGAGCAGAGATCCATGCGTGAAACACACACACATATATCCGGCTTCACACATACATGATGACTGGCCATACACAAATATTATCCCAGTAATTCTAATATAATACTAGACAGCTGTAGAGAAATATATGTTTATATCAACCTTCAATATATATGTCGAAGGTTAAATAATTCACACGAAATATCCATCAACGGCCGCCCTCTTTTCGATATCACCGATTTGTGTTTCAGTCCAGAGCGAGCAATAACCCCGTTGTACTGTGTTTTGTGTTGTGCTCTTCGCTAGGATCGGTCGTGACTGACGTGGGTCACGACTCTCCTTGGCATGCCGACACTTGTTGTTTCCTATTATTCATTTCAACTAATGCATCGCTACTGTGTGGGAGCCAGTACCGCTAAGTCCGGGATGTCCAGCATGGATAACAATCACTGTTCACTGACCCGATCGCAAACGCCCGTTTATCCAGTATAGTGTTGACCTTCATGACCTTTCGGAATGAACTAAATATTGATCAACTGCATATTAGTACAGAAGATAGATCTCACTTCACATCGACAATTTTGGTTCAGTTTATTACTTAGTAATAATGTGGGTTGGGTTTTTTGTTTTGTTTTTTTTTGTTTTAAAAAAACAAACATATTCCACGTCTATGTTTTAATGGGTGACAATGGGTCAAATATGCCTCCGGGTAAAGAAAGCGTTAACCCAACCGTGACTTTTATTCAAGTTGTCACTGAAATCCAGTTATCCCGTTTTGCTTGAGTCCTGTGAGACCAAATAACCGTTATTGATATATTTATCCCATGTTTTCTTTGCTCAGTCCAGCTGACCTCTACACTGTTGGTTTGAAGAGCATGAACGTTCTTGAAACAACATATACATGTATTATATTTTGGATTACACTTTCCCAGTACATTGTCTTGCTTTCACAATATTATTTTTACCTAGAAAGCCATAATAGTTTTGTTTATGATAAATAAAGTACGTATGTAAAATAACTTTGTCGAGACACATACGGTATATACGTAAATGTGACTTTGGTCAAGTGAGTGAGTGAGTTAATATTTAACGTCACATCGGCAATATTTCAGCCATATCGTGACGAGAACATTTTACATTGAAATGGAATATGCGTACTGTAAATCAATAAAATAATGCGAGCTACTTATTAATGCGAAAAATGCGACTATATCTGAAGCACATGAATAACTCTCGCATTAGTATATTGTCTTTTGCACTCGATATCATTATTACTAGTATTTTGGTCACGATAACCCGGTGAACAAAGACGAACGATTGATTCACAAAAATTCCTTTATTGACACAATAACATCGACATTATATTATATCAACAAGTAAAATACATTCTGGGGAAGAAAGATTGAGCACTAATCTTTTAAGTTGTATTACAGTCTTTGAATAAACAGTCTAGTTTACATTGTTTGAACTCACTGGACCACGTCCAGCAGACCTGCCAACATCCACGTAAGATTGCGTCACGATTTCTGCCTACCTTTTCATTTGCTCTCTGCATCCAGAGAGCATGAACAGGTTTCATGACGCTAATCCTCAAATCAACACGTTTGTCTTTTGTCTTGAGATTAGCTGCCACCTTGTCGGCATACCACTCGGTGAATTGTTCCTTCATTATCCCTTTCAATTCTCCGTTCACTGACAGCCAGGTGTGCGAGAAAGGATGGAGACGGCACAGCACAGGTTAATGAATCAATAACTTTGTCGGCACTTGTGCACGTGCTTCTCGAACACCTGGCTGTCCCTTTCTCTGCACTCCTCCCTCGTAACAAATAGTGAACTGTGTCAAAATTTTAATGATAGTTTGTTAAACAACTTTTTAAATTTTAGGACATAAATTCTGCAAACAAATCACAGAGTTGGTCTGATGTGTTGATTATGATCAGCTTTTCATTGAGTATTTTCAGTTTATTAGTTTTCGAGTTACATTGCAATTCATCGGTCCGGTTTCGAGCCAAACGGACTATACATCTACTTGCTTGGCTCCTTGAGTTGTTTATGTCCAATTTGATACGGGGACGATTTTCATGCCAGTTTGATCAGAGTTTATTATGAGGTCAGCTGGGATCGACTTTGACGAAACTACTTCCCCTATTTCTGTAATGAACTCTTCCCATTTTGTGTCATAATCGGATGGTAGTTTCCTGGCAGATTTAGTTGCTTTCCTCTTTACAAAGTTGTACCTGCCCAAAAAGGAGTCTGACCAACTTTTGTTTCTGTTTATAGGGCTACCATTTTCCTGCAACAGGTGTGGAAGGTTAAAACTAATAGCACTATTAGGACAATACAAGATAAAAGCAGGCTATAGATCGCCAACAACTGAAGGTAGATCACCATACTAGGGACCATGGGGACTTACAGTACCTTTGCTACCTGCATGGACTCTAGCTGGATTTACACCATCCGTTCAGCAATTGGCGTTTATATTGAGATTTACATTAAAATGACAAAAATACTACGATTAAAAACCTGGTAGACTTAAATTTACTTGAAATGTTTTGGGACTTACGTACCCTCTCAGGGGGACAATAATTTTACAGTCCTTTAACCCCCTTTGAGGGTACAGCCACCAACAATACAAGTTACTAATCTAAACTACAAATAATTAATAGACAGAACATATTAATCAAAATTCATCTATTAAATCAATTTTTTTTAAAAGCCAATAATTAAATGTAAATTAACAGTGTTAAAAGATCCTTAACTGTTTTCACTTTGAAATACTTATCCCTTATGATGGAGAATTCCACACAGTCAAGCAGAAGATGTTTGACTGTGACTCTCTCATCACAAGGGATACAAAACGGAGGATCTTCACCTTTTAACAAGAATTTGTGAGTATACCTTGTATGACCTATACGACATCGTCGCATGATGACCTATTCGAATCTGGACTGACAACCCAAGTAGGTGTAACCAATTTTATTTCATGTAATTTGTTAATGCGAGCTACCTACTTGGGTGTCCCATTTCTTTTGCATCAGATCACGGATGTAAGTTCTAATGCTAGCTTTGTAATCAGACTATGGAATAAGTGGTGTCACATAGTGTTCCCAGAAATGCCTGGGTAACCAACAAAAGACGATGTCGTATTGGCCAGTTGCAAGATCATTATACAATTCAATTATTTCAATTAAAAGTGGATGTTTACAAGAGAGATTTTTTATAGCCTGAAGGCAAGAAAGAGAATCTGAAAATATGATGTATTGTTTATATTTGGGGTGTCTATTAATATTTTTAAGAGCTGTTGATATGGCGTTAGCTTCTGCTGTGAAAATAGAGCTGTTATTTGGTAATCGAGAAGAGATTGTTCGGGATCCAATGACAGTGGCACAATCCACTGCGCCACTATCCTTGGACCGTTCAGTAAATAAGGATTTGTATGTATTATATTTACTTTTTAATTGATTATATTCTTGTTTATATTGTAATTCATTAGTTTCTCCTTTTTTAAATGATGTTAATGTAAGGTCAACTTCTGGCCTAACTAATTGCCAAGGAGGAGAAGAAAGAAGACGGGAAGGAGCTATGTTTACCAGCTCAATGCCGGCAGCAGAAATGAATGGTTTAATTACTTTGGTCAGAGGTAGGAGGTATATACGTATACAATGATTGTCGAGACACATACGGTATATACGTCAAATGTGACTTTGGTCCGACGTACGAAGTATTTAGGTATACAATGACTTTTTTATGCGAATTTTGTAAATGACGAGTGCTACCGGTAGGGTAGGACATGATTACCATTTTCGCGTACACCTGGTATCATCACTGATTGTCAAGGATCCATTCATATACGTTTCACACGGATTTTGTCATTCACACCAAATGGAATTTGTTTCTGAAAATAGTCAAGACTGACTTCCTTAAGTGGCAAGTCAAGACTGGTTGTTCTTTCGAACTGATCCCTCATACCTGGTCAGACAAATCATGCATACAGTGATTCCGATTATATATATAGAACGTCATGCAAGTGCATTAGGATGTTTTGTATTGAACGAGATGGTGTCATGGGCGCAGAAAAACGAGTTCGGTTTGTTTTTCTGCACCCATGACACCTTCGAATTCAATACAAAACATCCAAATGCACTAGCTAGTATGACGTTCTATATATACTCAACAGCAAAAAAAACGTCAGATCGAATTCAAAATTAGATAGGCACTGTAATCAAATCATTACAGAAATGACCTAATAAGCGGATCAAAAAAACATTTTTGTGTACAATATCTTGACACATCAATGAATAACTCAGCACAATTTCAAGACATTACGTGAACGTTTGCAGTCCATTCAGACTCTTGACAGTATCTAGTGTGACCACCACGAGCGGCAATAACTGCAGCACAGCGTCTATGCATGCAGTGCACCAATCGATTGATGAAGGCCATTGGCACCTGGAACCACACTCTGAGAAAGACCTGGCGCCATAAATCGGCTGTTTTCGGCCTTGGTATGACATTATTCAGTCTCCTTTGAATTGCATAATGTTGACACCGTTCTGCAGTAGGAAGTCCCGTGTAGCGACGTGCGAAATGTGGTATGACGTGGGGTCTGAGAACGTGGTCGATGTAGCGCACCGCTGTGATGCCGCCTTCTCCCCTGGACCAAGGTTCTGGGAACACCACAGGACCCACTCTGTTTCAGGCCTATTCTACCCCATACCATGATGCTTGCACCTCCCCATCAGTCTCTTTCCATATAACACATTGGTCTGAGTAACGCTGGCCACGTCCTCGCCATATTCTTGTTCTGCCATCTGCAGTTGATACGCAGTACTGACTCTCATCTGTGTACAGAACAGTTCTCCATTGCCTGTATCGCCAGTTTTGGTGTTGTAGGGCAAACTGTAGACGTTCACGCCGATGACGAGGGGTGAAGATA